CCGCATTTTAGCTACTTTAGCTGGCGAGAAGGACTTGGTGCAGAATTTATGAGCTAGTTCGTTCCAAGTAGTGATGCTTCCGACAGGGAGTGAATCCAGCCATTCAAGTGCTTTATCTCTCAAGGTGTGCGGGAACAAGCGCAGTCTTATAGCATCATTGGAGATACCTTGGTATCTGAAATGTTGACACATATCAAGAAATTGAGATATGTGTATATGCGGATTCTCACTAGCCATCCAATGGTATTGATACCCATTCTGAAACAGTTGAATCACGTTTATCTTCAGTTGGAAGTTCGGTTGCCCAAATGGAGGATATACAATACTAGATTGACTTTGCACCACCAATGGTGCCATGAAATCCCCAAGTATTGTATTTCCATCCTCTTCCACTACCAAACCTTCGTTGAGTGAAATTCCCGGTCGATTTTGCTCGTTAGCCATTTGTTGTACCACTCTTGCTTTCCTTTGCCTGTGACGGAATGTGCGTTCAATCTCTGGATCTATAGGGATCAAGTCTTGATCAGGTGTTCCTTGCATACAAGCCCTAATATGGCAGAATTATCACAAAAATTCAATATAAACAATAATAAAATAAATCTAATAAAATTAATAAGTACTAAACTAAATAAGTTCGAATTAGTGTCGCAAAAGATAGAATTAAAACTAAAATTCAATTCCTGGCAACGGCATCAAAAACTTGTTCACAGAATATTTCTTTCAATTTTAAAACCCACCGCAAGTGTACGATTCGTTAACAAGTAGTAAAATGGACTATGAGTCCAAGTATCGTTCACACGAGGATTGAATTAGCTCTAATTAGACTAATGTGACCTTAATCGAATCTAATTGAATGAAAATTTGGTTTAAATGTGAAAACCCCTAATTGTGGGAGAAATCCCCAATTTGAAACCCTAATTTTCAAAGAAAACCCTAATTTTTAAAGAAAACCCTAATTTCGAAATTGGAAGCCCTAATTTCGAAATTTCACTAATTGAATGACTCAAAAACTCAATTAAAATGTAAATACGCAATTTTTGGAAGTTAATGTATAGAAATAAATTGAAATGCAATCATTAGGATCTCGAATCCCCAATTGACTATTAAAAATCCTAATTTCACAAATTCAACGAATCGATGAAAAATGCCAATTCAATGTTCCTAAACCTATCCAATATACTCTCTCGATATATATTGAATCTACTCTTGCACACCACCAGCCTATATTTCTATGGATGATGCAAAATATACAAGAATGCATGAATTTTTATGAACACCTTATGAATTGCACAAAGCATAGGGGTATATTTCTATCCCATATCGAACCCTATGTTAATTTATATTATATCGAATCTATTCCCCTTCTTTCAAATGCAAAGAATAAATCATCTAAACTCACATAACATATGGCCAATAATTATGGAAGCAATCAAATCATATAAATCAAACAATTATCCAACCGAAACTTTATATTGAATTTATGAAATAAAGGAGATTAAATAATCAAAGGTTCATCGATTTCCTAATGAATAAAAACCCTAGCCTATGATCATAATTACAGAATCAAGAATTAAAATGAAATTAAAAGATATAAAGATTACCCCCGTATGATAATCCTTCAATTTTGTGTATAATCTTCAATTCCTTCTTGAATCCTTGTGAAATCAAGCCCAAGATTGTGTTTCTTGCCTTCAAATTGAGTGTATTTCTTCTCCCTGGTCGCTCCTCCCTTCAATTTGATGATTTTGGGTATTTATATCGCGTCAAAATCAAGTAGGAAAAGAGTTTCAACGAAAATGAAAAACTGCAACGGAGGCCCCCAAGTATCACTATGCAACCGCATAGAAGGATTCTATGCGGTCGCATAGACCAATAAATTTTCCCCCAAAATTCCCTGCAACCATCTATGTGACCGCATAGATGGTTACACTATGCGGTCGCATAGACTAACCAACTATGAAGTCTTTACATTTTGGTCCCTGAACTTTCCTTGTTGCTTCTCTTAACTTCTTTCTTCGATTTCTTCATCTTTTCAACAAATGTTATCCTCCAATTGATGATTGACACCATCGAATCTCTTGCCACTTATTCGGCTCATCTTTTGAGTATTTGCGCTTTAGTCCTCCAACTTTTAACTGTCCTTATTTCAGTCCCTCTTCGATTCTTTCTTCCTCCACTTGTTTTACTTTGTCCTTGAGCTCATACTCGGCATGTTTTTACTCTCGTTTTGCATTTAGCTCAACTTCTCAACATTTGCACCTTTGGTCCTCGAACTATCAATTTGTTGCGTTTTGGTCCTTCTTCGGCTCTTTTCTCCTGAATTTCACAATTTCCATTGAATTACATACAATGCATGAATTTAACTAGATTAAGTCACAATTCAACCATTTTATCCATGGTTAAGTCATGTTTGTGAACCAAATCAGTGTGTAAAAACATACTTATCAACAGGGCATAGGATGTGTTCTGATGCAGAAAGGAAAAGTGATAGCTTACGCTTCTAGACAATTGAAGCAAAATGAACAAAACTACCCAACCCATGATCTAGAATTGGATGCTGTAGTTCATGCCCTTAAGATATGGTGTTATTACTTATATGGAAGTAAGTGTGACATTTATACGGATCATAAGAGTTTGAAGTACTTTTTCACCCAAAGGGAATTAAATATGAGGCAGAGGAGATGGCTAGAGCTAGTGAAGGATTACGATTGCACTATCCTTTACTATCCTGGTAAAGCTAATGTAGTAGCAGATGCTCTTAGTAGAAAGGCGGTTGGACAATTAGCAGTATTAATTACTATGCAGGACCAGTTGTTAAAGGATTTCGAAAACTTACATCTAGAAGTAATTGTTCCACCAACCCAAACTAACACCAGGATGACGGCTCTAACGATTCGACCAACACTTAGAGATCGAGTAAGAGTAGCACAGGATGATGACTCTTTCCTGCAAAAGATTAAATTCGAAGTTGGTACTAGCAAGCGAAAGGATTTTGAATTAGGCAGTGATAAAGCCTTACTTTTTAAGGGAAGGTTGTGTGTGCCGAAAGATGAGGGATTGAGGAAAGAAATTCTTGAAGAAGCACACTTAACTCCATATACTGCTCATCCAGGAGGTACAAAAATGTATCGCGATCTAAGGAGTATGTTTTGGTGGAGAAATATGAACCGTGCATAGGTCTTTTTGTCAGGAGGTGCATGACTTGTCAACAGGTAAAAGCAGAACATCAAAGGTCATCTGGATTGTTGGAACCGTTAACAATTCCACAATGGAAATGGGAGCATATAACTATGGATTTTGTTATGGGTTTTCCAAAATCAACTAAGGGAAATGATGCTATGTGGGTTATAGTGGATCAGTTAACACAGTCAGCTCATTTCCTACCGATAAGAATGAATTTTAGTATGGATCAATAAGCGCGATTGTACATCAAAGAGGTCATCCGTTTGCATGGTATCCCAGCCTCAATTGTATTGGATAGAGATCCAATGCAGTGATGTGGAATTGCTAGAGTTAAGTGGTATAAACTTTGATTTTGGATAATACTTAAGATATAACTTGTATCTATGTAAATGAATATTTTTACATGATAGTTATAAGGATATAAATGGCCTTCTAATAGCCTGAAATCTGACTGGTGACATGCTAATAAAATAGAAACCAAAAACTGTCACAATGGAAACTGTCTGATTTTAGTGCTGTGGAAATGGACTATTTTGAGACTGAGAACACTTTACTTGTCACGACTTTAGAGCATGATTACCTTCACATACATGTTATAGAAATGTGGTAAAAAATTTGGAATCACTGGATATAGATAAGGGGGTGAAAAGGGATTGGAAAAATAATTGGACGGGGAAATCAGAAAACAGATTTTGTCCAATTTTGTGTTTAATATGATTTCAGCCTTTACATGTACATTAATCATCTCGTGGGCCTAGAAAATAGATTCTAAGGGTACTAGGTTGTCAACAACAATTGGATGATGTTGACGTTCATAATTTGACTCGAGAAATAGCGAGATTTATGGGATAAGTTCGTAATGCCATCGGTAACTTGAAATGATGATTCCGTCTAAATTATTTTGGTGAGAATGGATGTATTTTGGGATTTTGTGCATTAAGGTTATTAAATTGAGGATTATTTTTAATATTAAATGGTAATATAGGTGATTTTCTGACTTCGACTGAAAAAGGATATTGATCTAATCTCCATAGAAGCTTGCACACACAAAGGTGAAAGGTAAGTGAAAATCCATTTGCAACTACGATGCAAGAACCTAGTATAAGTGACATAGTAATGTTGAAATATCTACATAACTTTGATAAGAGGCTTATACCACAGCATATGGTGGTTACGATCATTGAGTATAAGGTTGTGTATCCTATTGACATCGATTTCCATTAAATACGTCATTTATGAATATTTTTATATGCATGCACGACATGTGACATGGTTGAAAATCCTGCATGCAAAACATGACTTCAAAGTGAGTTTCATTATAAATGTTTTATTGACCACTACTAGGGCACCGAGGCAGGTAAGGCATGCTTATGTGATATGTTTGGCATTGCGGGTGTTACTTCCTGGGTGATTTCAAAGGTAGACAGGGGATGGGCCTTTGGTGATTACAGGAGGGCGGACCACTCGACTATGCCCATGTTATGATTATTGGCTCTGCCAGGTGGGAGACTTCTTGCGTGATCATAGGCGTAGTCAGGTGATGGGCCTCTAGAGGTTACAAGAGGATGGTCCACTCGTCGGTGTCGATTCCATATTGGCCACTTGATTATTGATATTGATATTATGCAGAGCTCTATCCGGTGCATAGTTGGTGGGTTAAGGGCCCAATGAAATGAAAGATTTCAAATGAAATAATTTCGAGTCGACTTTGATGAATATTGGAATACGATGATACCACTCTCTGTCACACCCCAAATATATACAGATAACCATACTAATTCCCATGTCAAAATGATATTGGTAACTCGATCTGGACATAAAATTTAGATATACTTTTTTTAATAAAATGAAACGAGCATTTGCACAATTATGTCCCTATTTGTTAACTTCAAATCACCTGTGATGATCATATATTATATCAAAATCAATGATCATATAACCTTAATACAACACGTATGTTCTAAGGTTATAAACACATCTATAGGCCATTTCAAAAGTTATACAAGACTGGACCCCCAAAATACAACACAATAGAGTGTAAGCTCAAAACAATAGCCCACAAAATCACCCTATAGGTCGTCATCCATGTACATTGATCTTTGGAATCCCATAAGAGCTCCACAGCTAGCCGTGCCCTCTACATAGTTTCATGCTCACCTACAATGCAAGAACTACATAAGTCAATGATTAGTAAGCAAGAATCACGCATGTTATGATTATGAGTAACAAGGATATGTGACACCATGTCATTTACTTTAAACACCATGCTAAAGATGCATCATATTCCAATATTCATCAAAGTCTACTTGAAATTATTTCATTTGAAATCTTTCATTTCATTGGGCCCTTGACCCACCAACTAGGTACCGGATAGAGCTCTACATAATATCAATATCAATAATCAAATGGCCAATAAGAAATTGACACCGGCAAGTGGACCATCCTCTCGTGACCGCTAGAGGCCCATCCCCTAACTACCCCTATGATCATCCAAGAAGTCTCCCACCCGGCAGCGCCAATAATCATAAGAAGGGCATAGTCGAGTGGTCTGCCCTCCCATGATCACCAAAAGGCCCATCCCCTATCTACCTTTGCAATCACCCAGGAAGTATCACTCGCGATGCCAAACGTATCACATAAGCATGCCTCACATGCCTCGGTGCCCTAGTAGTGGTCAATAAAACTTTTATAAAGAAAACTGACTTTGAAATCATGTTTCGCATGCAAAGTTTTCAACCATGATCATATGTTGTGCATGCCAATGAAAATGCTCATGAATGACATGCTTAATGGAAGTTGATGTCAATGTATTTTGCAACCGCATACTCAATGATCATAATCATCATATAGGGTACAACAAGCTTTCTTATCAAAGTATGAAAATATCCTAACATCACTATACCACAAATGCTAGGTTCTTGCATCGTAGTTGCAAATGGATTTTTACTTACCTTTTTGCCCTTGTGTGTGCACAAGCTCCTACGGAGATTATATCACTTTCCTTTTTCACTCAACGTAAAAAAATCACCTGTATTACCATTTAATATTAAAGACAATCCTCCATTTAATAGCCTTAACGCACACAAAATCCCAAAATACTTCCATTCACGTCAAAATAATTTAAACGAATTCATTATTCAAGTTACTAACGGCATTACAATCTCGTCCCATAAGTCTCATTTCTCCTCGAGTCCAATTACCAACATCAACGTCATCCAATTGTGGTCAACAGCCTAATACTCCTTAGAATCTATTTTCTAGGCCCAAGAGATAATTAATTTACATGTAAAGGTTGAAATCATATTAAACACATAAATGGACAGAACCTGTTTTTCAGGTTTCATCACCGTCCAACTACTTTTCCAATCCGTTTTCACCCCCTTATTCATATCCAATGACTCCCAGATTTTTACCACGTTTCTATAACATGTATGTGAAGGAAATAATGCTCTAAAGTCGTGACAAATCAAGTGTTCTCAACATCAAAATAGTCCATTTCCACGACATCAAAATCAGGCAGTTTTCATTGTGACAGGTTTCGGTTTCCATTTTATTAGCATGTCATCAAACAGATTCCAGGCTATTAGAAGACCATTTATATCCTT